AGGGTTCAGCCCGGCACGTGTTGCAAGAAGAAAAAGATCATTTACCAGTGTGTATTCCACCCAAGAAGAACACTCATAAAAAGAAGGAAAAGCAATGCTTAACGACCCTTGTTTCTCCTACTATCCTTCACACACACAAAAAAAAAAAAAACAAATTCATATGATTCACCAACGTCTGTTCATGCAGTCATTGTTATCAAGTAGTACGGAACATCACAATAACATTGATCAAGAACAGGCGAGGGATCACATATAACTCAATAAGCAATTTAATTAAAGCCCAAAGAAAATTAAAGTGATGTGTAGAAACCAAAAAAAAAAGTACTATCGCGTTCCACACAAATGTATATAAGAGACTGAGCTCATGGCAACATTATCACAGAGAGTGTCAAGAAAACAAACATAACACTTGCAAAAGAAGAAGCTTTAAAAGAACCATCAGGGCCTTTTTTCGCAGTAGCATTATTATTCTGCCCACTCACAGATGAGGTATTGTTTTCTTCCTTAGTTTCACTGCGGTTTGCTTCTGTGGTCGTACTTGCCTCATTTTGTACCACCGGTGCAGTAACTTCCTGGTTACCATCATTTTCAGTCGGTCTTGCGGTTCCAGTGGCTTCCGGTTGACTTGTTTGGATTGCTTCAACAGTGTCTGGGTCTTTTTCTGGACCTTGTGATTCATCCAGAGTTTTGTTGATTGTATTGCACACATCAGCGTATTTGGGGCACACAATTTTACCCTGCAGCACAGTCCCATCCACAGTTAGATTTTTTCCTTCAGGACAACTGTACCACTCATCGTTTCCACTGTATCGCACAATTACCTTGTTGAACTTGCAAGACACCTCCACACACACGGCACCAACTGCTGCATTGTTAGCCGTCAGACCATTACCCTCCACACAACGTGAGTTATTAGCAATTACACTTCCAGGCATTTGGTTCCGCTCCCCACTGATGCAGCTCTTTTGCGGTAATGCCTTAATAAACGGGCAGTAATCCATTTGTTCAGATGAATCTGAACCAACCTTTTTGTCGTCAGAAAAGTATTGAAACCGCGCAGGAAGATCCTTCTCAACGGGTTTTGCTTCGATGCTGCTGCAAGTGCCCAATGACTGGCGGTCAGATGTGCACCGTAGTGACTCAGTACCCTTACTGGATTTGGTTGTGCAGAACATGTTGGAGAACTTCGTTTCCCCGCTGTTAACGCATTTATTATTCAAAAATTCACACTTAGAGTTATTGCCCCAACTCATCTGCTCTGCCATTGTCCAATTAACTTTGTAGTAGCCCAGATCAGCGAAAGCTCCCATTGTAATTGCAGTGTAGTAACCAGCACCGACGAGACCAACCATTAACTCATCCTTTGCGTTGCGTCGACTCCAGTGTGACAGTGTCATCTTACCTTTGTGGTTTGGAATATATATTGGTGCCTCAACAATACACTCTGTACCCTTTGCAGTTTTAACTTGTTTTTCAGCAACGCAATCACTTGGGGTTTGAGATGCCATCATTGCGGTTTGTGCGTATATTGAACGTCTTTTTGACAACAAATGTGATGAATGATGTACATTCTGTGTAAACTTGGCATCATTGGAACCCTCTTCTTCACGTCTCTCTTGCACATCACTGTCAACAGACTCCTTCCCTGTCAAAAGACCATCCATAACATTACTGTGTGATTCTCCCAACTCATATTCTCCTTGCACGGTTGCTGTCAAAGCAAACACCGCTGCTGTTTTTGCAGGAGGTACACTTACAAACGCCACACTTTGTAGTTCCATACCCTCTGCAGAATCACAGTTATAATGATTTTTAGTTTCTCTCAGTACATTTGAAGAATTAACACGCCGTACGACATACTGGTCGTTGCCATTTTCCCAGATCTGCACCATATCTTTCCTTTCCATCTCAGGGAAATTGAATCCAAGTGCATGAGCAATCTCATGAGCAGCAACGCGGACACGCTGTGGTGTAGCCACAATATACCGTGGACCGTAATTGATGATTCCAACAACTGGACGACCATTAGGACCTAATGTCGCACATGTTGCCGCCCAGGCGAACGCTCCATCAGTTGTTGGGGCAGCAGCAACATAAAGCACCATATCAGCCTCGTCAACACCAGTGGTTTTATGCTCTTGTGGTATAGTGAACTTGGAGCAAAGACTTCTGCTGTCAAAGGTAGGCACGACAATGGGACCCCTCAACCGCTCCACAAAAAGGCGATCACTGTGCAGTTTAATTGCCTCAGGGAGAATCTTCTTAACAAGAATTTCCTCCTTCTCTGGCGTCAAAACATCATCAGTTGTACACGTAAGTGAACTTTTCACGGAGAAGACACTCTCATCAACCGTAGAGCAGAACCGACCACTTGTATTCAAATCATCAGTGAAGAATTTAATGCGAATGGGGTCCCATCCACTCGTGGGTTCTTGTCTCTTCAAAGGATTTGATGCTTCTTGTTGCGGAGACGCTTCTGCAGCTGAACTTCCATCACTGAAAATATAAGCTCCAACATGCATCACCACTCTGTCATGCATGCAGCGGTGGTGCTCTGTCACAGCAAGAATGACAAGGGTGCAGTACAGAAGGAGCAACGGAGCAAACAAGAAGAGACGCCGCATTCCTTCACGTGTAATCTTGAAGGGTTTGTGTATTTGTTTGTCTGTAAGCAGAAGAGAAGAAAAAGAAATATTGGCAATAGAAAATCAAATGCAGGATTATCAAGCATAGAAGGAAAAAAAAGGAGGAAATGGGAAACCATGACCCCACCCATAAAAAAAGAAAAAGAAAGAGAAAAAAAGAGAGAGACATATGAAAGTAACAGAGAGCCACTGTCAAGCAGACTGTGGATACGCACAATGAACACGTGGCGGGGCCGCATCAGCCCCACTGCACGGGCACAGGCGGTGGGAGGGGGTTGTGTCAGAAACGCACAGAGTGCAACATCAATGGGATCA